ACCACGTATCAGATCCGGTTACATAAATAAAAATCTTTTATGACTTTTGTGTTGCCAGCAGTAAATACTTAAATCAAAATAATATTTAATTTATATAATTATACATGTGTATATTGTTTTTTTTATATCATAAGATGGCAAACGAGCGAGCGGCCACCTGAAATCGCTAATATAGCGAAGTGACCGTTGCCCATAGACGTACGCAATCGCATATGCGTTGCCTACCTTTAATCGACGGAGCAGAGGATGCACAGAAAGAAAAAATCTTCCCTTTCCATGCATCCTCTCATCCGGAAAGTCCACTTCCACTTCCCATACTTTCCTTATAAGAAAAAGGGTGGAAAGGGAAAGAGGACTAAATTAGGCCTCAGGTACGCACACTCATCAGAGGAAACGTGGAATTGCTTCCACTTGACGCCTGTCTTCTGTGTGGTCGTGGTATTTCACCGGTCGAGCCGGGCCAATTCGTGCGAAGATGTTAAAGCGGGCTCTACCACTGGTTTTAGGGGTATCAATATTATTTTTCTTGATTGAAGGAGAGATAAAACAGAAACATATATGTGATACATGAGTCAGTATTTAGTAACACACTGTATCAGAACTATGATCGAAGTTATTAAAACGCCATTATCTTTATCATAAAACATTCCCAGGACAATTACATTCTATGATTGTCCTTGTTTTCATTTAAGAACACCTATGAGAATAAGAAATATGTCAGATGCGAAACAATATTACTAATATAATATAATAAATGCGAATGTTTGGATGGAATGTTTGTTTGAATATATGATCTCGCTAAAATTTGGCATAGATGTAGAACATAGTCTGGAATCACACATAGACTACTTAGTGTTTTTTTGTTAACAACGCGTGGACGGAGTCGCGGGCGACAGCTAGTAAGACATAAGAGCCATAACTAATGTTAGTCAGTAAAGCACTGTATTATGTAAATTGCAATGAAAATAGTTTTAATATAAACTCTATGTGTAAATCATAAGGTGCACGGCTTTATATGCATTGGACGTACATGGTGTGCGCAGGCGCCGTCACCTGCGCGCCTTCCCACGCTGACTCATTTTGTACATAGATACGGAGGCGTTATGGATCTCTCTATTACTAAGATGACTGATTTATATACTTTACCTAATGGAATATTTTATTGCATCTTTTTTTCCTCTTTATTCTACTTACGTTTTATTGTATAATTGATGTTATGTTATCAATTAATAAAGATAAGATGGTCAAAAAATATTCTTAAAGCGCTGCAGCTCAGAGTAATCGCAGGACTCACAAGATAAAAGCTGCGTTTAAATCTGTTAGTTGATCTGGATGACCGAGAGTGACGCATCAAAAACAATTGCCGATCAAAGATTTTTATTACTTAAAAGACATAATTATGCGTTTATTTTTTTGAGAAATTATTAGTGATTTAACAATTATTGTGGCAAGATTTCTTTTTTGAGGAAAAGTTAAAAATAAAGTTAAAAATTATTTTATAGTGATCGTATATTTTTATAAAGTTGAATATATGGTATACTATACGAAACGAACATAAGGGTTAAAGGAGTGTCAGGTCAGGTAATATAAGAAATAAATAAAACGGTACTTATAATATCGATGTGTAACATGCTCTGACATTAACCTGCAGCGAACAGAACAAATAAAAACGGTCATATTATCTAGAAGTTCGCTGCGCGCGCGCACCTGCCATTTGTTCTCACGATTTCTTCTCTTTTGTAACTGTTAGATGATAATTATGGGAATAAAAGATTTTTCTCACATCAAATATAAACAAACCATTGGGAAATCGAAAATATTATGAATTGTTCGCGCGTTTTGATGGCTCACCCTTCCAGTCTTCATGAAGTACAAAGAACGGAAAGTAAATGATAATTCCATGAATATTTGTGGACTATAAATAAGTGAACTTCGTTTTATTTCATTTCAGAGCAGCGCAGCTATGGCTTTAAGTGATGACCGCAAGGGCTAAGAACATTCAAAATCAAAGAGGAATTACAGGAGCCTTTCTTTCCTTGAAGGTAACAACTGACTTTACATTTTATTCTTAAAGGCTATTAAATAAGTTTGGAAATATCACTGAAAACAAATTGTTTCACTACACACGAGAGCCTAAATCATGTTAAAATAAGTATACTCTTATTCATTAACAAGGGCATTAAAATGTAATATTAGATTCGAAACGTCAGAGATAAAAATGTGTCGAAAATGAAACCGCGCCGAAAAAGGTATCGATTAACACTTTGATCAAAAGTATATTGCTGAGTCGATCAAACAGAAATAAATATTGATGGTAAAGCTTAAAATTCTTAAGTTTATTGAACATTATCAACATCCTGGCGGAGACTCTAATGTATTGGCAATGAATAAAAAACACATATATTGTGTAACAAACGTGTGGGAACGCGAGACAGGTGCGCCGCCGCTAGCGCCCCCACGCCGCCACTTGGCAAATCACAACCAGCTTCTGTGCGCCAATCTCACCTCATTTGCTCTATGATTTATATATCATAACACATAGTTATGTTAAACTGCGATAAGAACTGCCCAAGCGGATATGAACTATTACCAAAATCACTTGCGACTCTTTCTTTGGCCTACTACTCGCTAAAAGCTAATTTTATACGTGTACATACTATCGGAGTAATATTATGAATGTGAATGTTTAGATGGATTGATGGAACGGCGGAAAGGATCTCGATGAAATTTAGCATAGGTATAGAACATACTTTGGAAAATCACAGGGGCAATTAATTTTTTTTTAAATTCCGCACTAGTAAAACAAAAGAGCCATTTTAACTTAAAAAATATTTTCGAAAATAATAAAATTTCGATAAATTTTAATTTAAAAATAATAATAAAATCTAGACTTGCTGCAAAAAATCTAGTAACAGAAATAGATTCCGGGCAATAAAATCTCCATATTCATTAAGAATTTCCTAAAGAAGTATATTTTAGAAGACCAGTTTTATTATGTGTTTAAAGAAGATATTAAATTATACGAAGGTCGCGTAAATATAATTAAAATTCACTTATTTCATTTTAAAGCGATAACAGATCAAGTTCCGTCTTAAGGTGGTCTTATTAATGCGTATCACATCGTTAAAATAAAGCGGTAATGTATTTCATTTGGTCGATCAGCGCGGATTCGAATCCGGCACACCTGCGCGATGTTCCCACGCCGGTCAGCGGCCACTGAGCACCCGGGTGTCAGGACAACACTCTGTAGACATCCGCGTTCCATACTTCGGTTATTTTTTGCTTATTTTTTCATTAGCGAACTTGTTATGAACAAGTAAACTTTATGTAAGAGTTAAGTATAGCGTTTATAATCTGATGACTGCAAAAAATTAACGGTCTAGAATCTATGCATTCACAATTTCACCGATGTGGAGAAATCTTTATGACAGTCAATAAATTTCACATAACTGTTTGCATCACGAATCAATTGACGCATCATTTGCCAACTTTACTTTATAAAAATACTTAATTAGTAGCCTATGTATTCTTCTAGCCTGTTCTTCATCTGTGCGAGATTTTAGCGAGATCCTTCTAGCCGTTCTGGAGATACTATAAAAGATCCATCCATCTAATTCGCAATTATTATATTAGTAAGATAAAATCGGTAAGTAAAAAAAAAGGACGCTTAAAGTCTTGGATTACTACAAAATGAAGATCAAAACTGTAAAAGAAATAATGTTTCCTCACTCCAAGTATTGCTTTTAAATAAATAATCGAACAATTAAGGCCACAATATCAATTACTTGCTTATACAGCATTATCACCGTATTGGAATTCAAGCATCAGAAAAAAAACACAAAAACAGGCGCAAGACGTGTTTTTCAATTATTTAGCATACACGTACTTGCTATTTTTTTGTCCTCTCGTATCCGTTAACTTATACCGTAAACACGGACTGGTTTATCGAGTATTTTTTTAAAGAAATAAGGGTAATTAGCTACCGCGCTCTTCATGCTGTAAACATATTTTTTAACTACAATAAGTAAAGGCGATTTAAATTAATTAATAAATCGGAGGAGAGTAGAAAACAACTGCTATCTTATTAATATTATAAATGCATAAGTTTAGATGGATGTTTGTAAGAAGATATATCTAGAACGGCTGCATGGACAACACTGAAATTTGGTTATGTAGAACCTAGTCTGCAAAAACACATGGACTACTAATTAAGTTTTTTTTTAATTACGCGCGAACGGACACGCGGTCGATAGCTAGTTAAGAATAAATTAACTAAACAGGTATAGCGGTAATATCAAATTAGGTGAAGTTTCATGTCAAAAAGATTTTAAAAAACTTTTTAATCTATTGTAGCTTTCGCTATAAACAATTTGTAATCTGTGTTCAAAAACTTTTTAACAAATTACCCTTCAAATGATTGTGGTGTTTTGCTTAAGCAAAATTGGCAGAAGTCTGCCTAATATTTTTTAATTTAATTCTTTCAACCGTGGTAATTGTGATGCCTGTTGCAGTATACTTCATTTCCTGCAATTAGTTCCTTGTGTGGTCCGAAAATGAGTTTATACGGCAGTTCGGATAACAACTAATGTAATGACACACTTGAAGAAAAATTACTAAGTAAGGTTATGTTTTACAAAAATTGTTCATGATTATACTTTGTGCCGTGCAATTGTTGTAGTGTGATTTGCTCTTACTTGAACTTGCAACAAAGTACACATAGGATTAATGAGATAAGACCAGCCGCTTGTCTTTTTTTTAAGAAGACATTAAGGTTTCATTAAGTTATCGACGATAACAACGCCTTGAACGCTAGAGAAATGTTCGTACAAATAAGTGATTCAAATTACGTCTACTAGGTCAATTACCAAGGTCAAGGTCAGACGTAATTTGATAATATTTGGTCTTGTCTGATAAAATTTTATATGGTGTTTTCTTTATTATAATAATTTAACTTATTTTGCAGCAGCGGACGGTGGAGGTGTTAAATAATCTAATTGGGTACTTAAATAACACAAATTACACCCGAAAATCCTCATATCAAATGAAGAAACAGCGTATCGAACGACAAAGAAGGTTTCAAAACCTCTTGTGTGGTAAGTAAGAACTGCCGTTTTTATAACTAAAAACAAACATTACTGCTTACTGAAATGATAATCGATAAATTGCGTTGTTTTGCAAGAGATAGTTTAACGGATGAGCAGTTTATATTCGTCTTCATATGTAGTAAAAGGAGAAACCTTGAGATCGAAACTTGTCTGGACATGTAGGTAAACCGAAGTGGACGGCCACTTCGGCGACTTTGTCCTTTTGTATGTTCCGATGCAGGTGCGTACTGACGTCACTCATGAGAATATCCCAACAGTCACCCTTCTCACGCCTCCACGACAATCGCAAACCAGTTCCCAATCAACAGATCGATCGTGTAAATGCCGTTAATGCAACAAGTCTGAAGAAAAAATACAGACTTCTAAACTGGTTTAAATCCAACTGGTGCAATTGCACAGACTATAATCAATACAAACTGAAACAGATTGATACCTCCATATTAATTTCTATCAGGCGCCATCTGCCAATAACAACTTAAATACAGGATGTAGAAGATCATGAAACTTAGCCTCTGTCCTCAATTTTATAGACTTATTTACAGAAGACATTTACTGCATTCTTCTCCTTCCGACCTTTGTGCTTGTCTTCACAAAGGTCGGCAATCATTAAGCCAACTTTCACCCTTGGCACCGCGGCTCTGAAAAACCTACTCTTTCCGAACTATTAGCGTAGGTTCTTAAGCCAGGATGTTTGTCTTTGATCTACACATGGCTTTCTTCATACCCAATTGATTTAATTTACAATTCATTTTACAGTTCAATGTAACAACTCCAGCGGTGAATCGAAGTCACTTGTCTATATGACATAACTAATACTACTTAGAACATTCTGCTCATTGATAACAGGTCAGTAAATTTACTTTACAATAATCAGTTAACTAAAGTATACATATTTTAATATACCAACGTATTCATCGGTTATAATGAACCAAATTTATAACTAAACCGAATCTCTCAATTTTAACACAAAACATTATTACGAATCTCACGGTTTTTTTAAACGGAAACTTGTGCTCTATTGTTACACACAAACAATACGACCAAATTAAATGTTATGAATAAAATTCTCTCTGATTTAAAAATTACCATAAAATCAGTCCCATGACTCGCTTACGCGGGGGTGCTCTATCGACGTACCCACGGAAGTGTCAGTGATGCGTGTAATATATTCTTACTTTGACGTAAGCGGTGTTAATCGATGTCATTATGCCATAATTATTAAGGTAATATGAATTTGGGATAAATCGAATGAAATTATCAGGCATTTGAAGAAATTTAATTGATATACAGATTCATTTTTAATCATAAATCTAGGATTTGAATACCGCGGGATTCTCAGAACGAAATCTCCGTTTAAAGCATTTTTTGTCTGTTTTGTGAAATACAATAACAGACTTGACGATATGTTTTTACTTAGATTTCGGTGTCAGAAACACACTATTAATGAATCAGATTTTTTTATGATTATGCTTGATTTTATAGCGACTTTAGTGCTACATTTACTCCCTAAAAACTATTATAAAAATAAAACTTGTACAATATTTTTTTATATCATAAGGAGGCCAACGAGCTAGCCGCCACCTGAATTCGTTAAAACAGCGAAGCGACCGCTGCCCATAGGCATACGTAACCGCATATGCGTCGCCCACCTTCAATCGACGGAGGAGAGGATGCACGCAAAGAAAATATTTTCCCTTCCCATGCATCCTCTCATCCGGAAAGTCCACTTCCACTACCCATCCTTTCCCTATAAGAAAAAGGGTGGGAAGGGAAAGAGGACTAAATTAGGCCTCCGGGACGCACACTCATCAGACGAAACGCGGAATTGCTTCCACTTCACGCCGTACTTCTGTGTGGTAGTGGTATTTCACCGGGCGAGCCGGGCCACAGTTAATTGTTACTAACAATTATAGTAATAGTTAAGATAAATTACCCGTCTACGTGTATGGCAATTTTTATTGCACAATGACTAATGATTTTTTTTATAATTATAACAACATAAATAAAACATTAATCATTAACATAGGTAATGAGTTCTAGGCGACGCGGCGTTGTGTTACTCGTGACCGCAAAAAGCAATTAGTGTGACAATTACAACTTATATAAACAACAAAGCAGACATGATTCATTTTAATTGATTGCAACACTCGAAGGACGTGCATTTGCTATGAATTTTGTTATACATTGTTATATATAAAGTATATTATGTACTGTAAATAACTAGAACTAAATTATTTTTACATTTTAAATCATACTTATTATATATAGGCTTTTAAATGTGTCAAAAGCAATTTGCTCATTGTATTACTGAACCTTTACCGCCAAATAGTGGACTAAGATAAACTGTTTTGCGCACTTTCCTATGGGTGGCAGCGTAAAGATCTTTCGTGATTTTGGTAATGTCCTACAATCACTCTATCCCTTTACCAACCACCAAAACATATTTAATATTTTTTTTTAATTACAACACTTTATTTTTTAAATAAACAAGACAGATTTGTGTTAAACCGCCGGAAGCAATGAAGGATGAAATAAGGACATGTACACACGCAATATGCCGCTCTTTGATCGGTCACATGCGAGGCGTGGACATCGGATACGGCGTCAGCTGAGACCCGTGCGGCCTCGCTCACGGCGCTCTGGCTGCGCTTGGTTGAGCACATGCCGAGCTCGTGACAAGTCCATCCGACATAGTTCCAGTCAGGAAAATCATTCTTGTACAAAATAAATACCCGAAATTTACTTAGGAAAAAACTTCTGTTCTCACATAAATTTTTGAAAAGGAAATAAAAAAGTTAAAGCCTTAATAAAAGTATATGTAACATAAGACATAATACTGGCCACACCGGCTTAACGCGATAAACATCATTGGCACAAAAAATAAAAAGACAAAAGCGATCCCAATCGCCCGTACTTTTTATAATGCGAAAGCTTTATCTGTATCGATAGATAGCGCGGACCGGTAGCAAAATGAGGTATGGTCAAAGTCGAGTTAAATTAATTGCAAGTCAGAACTGGCTATCGGGCCCGTCAGTTATACGCGCCGATATAGCGCTGCAACTGGAGCGTTGTGTGCCTCATGCTTTATGACTGGAAGATTAGCGTGGGACAGCCTGCGTTATGTGGATATTGTTCCGTGAAATATGTCCTAGGGATTTAAATGTACCTTCGGGCCTACGCGCTTGTGAATCACATCTATGGTATGCGGAGTAAGTTGAACAAAAAGAAAATATCAACAGGCGAAGGAATAATCATGCTATTCTATCGAAGTGTTGAATCTAGTTCTGATATTTTGGTATTGTTTTTAAAGAGAACAAACAATGACTTCACCCATTCAAACTCAAACAATAAGTAACGTGCGTCGTTAGTTTTTGTATTAACTAATCATACTTCATACTAATATTATAAATACGAATGTTTAGACGGATGTTTGTTTGAAAATATATATAGAACGGCTGAATGAATCGCGCTAAATTTTGGTGTAAATATAAATCATAGTCTAGAAGAACATAAATCTCTACCTATTATGTTCATTTTTAATTCGCGCGACCGGAGTCACGGGCGACAGCTCACTAATAAAACCAAAGGCTGAATAAACCTATATTGATTACAAAAAAAACCTATAAAGAAAATGTACTATGCAAATTGGACACGAGTCTTTCATTGGAGCCCACTCGTCTGTATCAAGTACAGACAGCAGACAAAACGTTACTAATTGCTTCCTCATTAACTGGACTCAGTTCTTCCTGTGACAATGACCACTGTAATTAGATGCTACAACTTACTTTATAAAACGTTTGACAAAACAATTATTTAACTTAGAATGTGTTAACCTCCTTAAGCCAATAAGCATATTAGCTGTACATAAAACAAATCTTTTATTTTTTTTTTAAAGAAAGGAATAATGAAACAATAATCATTATTATTATCTCTTCATGTATTTAGGACAGACAATACATCTAATATTACATCATAATTTTATCAGCAAAACTGTCAAGTAATCGCTGAAATTTATGTCTCTTGCATATTGGTCAAATACAAATCTATGAAGAGCATTTCAATAAAACCTCTTAGTCAGAAGTATTTGAAAGAAAAAAATAATACTGGCCAGTATAAGTAATATTTATTATCTGCAATCGTATTTACGAAGCCGCGAAACAGCTAGGTAAATTAAAAATAACTGGATACAGTTATTCGTATGCGGGTAGCGCGTGACGTGCCAGTCGCCCACATGCTGTACCAATTAAGGTCGGTCGATCAGCCTTAAAATAAACGTAAAAAGGTAACAAGAACATTACCGGTACGTTAAATTATCGGTTTGCGGTACAAAGCGCCGGCGGCGTTGTACCGACGTACCAGTAATCATCGACAATTTCGTACCAGATCTGTAGCGACGTACATGGATGTTGTGATCAATTTAAATCTGCTCTTTTCTGTTCATCGCATAGTTATTGAGAATGAGAATAGTTAGCAAAATGGATAGCATTTGTTTCCTGTTGCTGCAAAAGATTCGCTAATTAGTTGATAGGCAAAATTAAATTGAATTTGCCCCCAGAGAGATTTGAACTCTCGACCCCTGGTTTACAAGACCAGTGCTCTAACCCCTGAGCTATGGAGGCTACATGGTATATCAAAAAATACTTAAATCAGCCAAATGTAATTGAATAATGAAATTCACACTCGACGCTACATGGACAGTGGTTACAAAAGAGACGGACGAATGTATTTCTCATCCTATTTCCTACAATTACCCCTACTGGAGTTTTTTTTTCTTTTATGATAGAACAATTATATACTATTAGTAACAAATTAATGAATGAATAGATAAAGCGAAGTTTATTAAATAAAACTTAGTTCGAAGGCAATCATTTTATTTACAAACATTTTGTTATTGCGTGGTCGGAATCGGAAGTAAATACGGAATAACAAAATATTCACTTTGATAACGGTAGGCGGTCGTAATTGATTCTAACTGAATTAAATCCATTATAATTATTTCTATTTTATAGTCGGTTTACGATTGCGTTCATGATTTTATTAGCTACCGTTAACTTTTAAATGTAATTGCATCATTCAAATATTACATTTACAACTATCGTAGTATGATACATTATTTTATTACGGTTTTTTTTCAATTGTTATTTATTGTAACTCTATATAAAAGATATTTTTAACACTTTTTATAGAGTTGCAATATAGTAACGGCATAGAAACTTTCTTTTCATTATTGTTCGAGTTTAAAAATATGATATTAGAACTTTTACATAACATCAAAAACAACATTTGAATCCTTGGCCCCTAGTTTACAAGGCCTTAGCTCTAACCCCTGAGCCATGGAGGCCACATCATTCCATGAATGAAGTTATCTCATACCGAAACTAATCCAACATTAAAATGATAATTAGGTTCTTACAAATTAAATAAAGACATTGTCAACATCAAACACTTGATCAAATAGAGGGGAAATTATAAAATAAATCAATATTTCATTCATCATTTTTAAATTGCTGAAGCTACCAAAAAAGCCAATATAATAGAAATATACACAGCTAGTTGTCGCCCGTGACTTCGTCCGCGTGGAATTAAAAAAAAAACATATGTAGCCTATGTGTTCTTCCAGACTATGCTCTACATGTGTGCCAAATTTCAATAAAATCTATTCAGCCGTTCCGGTGATACATTCAAACAAACGTCCATCGATCAATCCAAACATTCGCATTTAAAATATTAGTAAGATCTAAACTTACTCCTCTGACAATTTTTTAAATAAACAAAACAATTAAGAACTGTTCTCACAACTATTGCCCGTATTGAACTTTCTCAATATCGATTAAGTCAACCCACCA